TTAAATAAGACTACCACGTGTTGCTATATTATTATTCCATGCGTTATGCCATGTCAGTAGTCTAATATTCCACGTGTAGCTCTTTTTCACCACCAATACAGATAGTCCCCCCACTTTTTTGAATATTCTCTATTGAATATTTGGGGAAGTGGAAAGTTTTTTATGGCGGAAATTCTCTACCGCTGTTTTCGAATATAATATACCCTTTTCTGAACCTATGTGACGTTCATCACTTTTCATGTAATGACCATGCCATGTGGCTTTTATCAACTGGTCCTTCTATTTTGCAGCGTCTTTTAGGGTTTTCCTGCAACCGCATCAATCAAAAAGTGACGGTTCCATTATAGTGCTTCATAATGACCTCAATAGTCGTGTCTTCTTATAAATATTTCACCCCTTTTTTCAATTTTCTAAAGCCTTTCCTTCTCTATATTCTTGTCTTACTTCTTTCTGTATCTTTTCCTTGTGTTTCTTTGGTTAATCATGGCTTCCCCTACTCCTCGCAAAGTCATCATTATCAATGAATTTGCTTCCTCCAATGTTACCTACTAAAAGTAGAAGATGTGGTAGATTGTGCAGCCTCGGTTCTATTTCTAACCGTGGTTCCCCTTCTCAAAGTAGTGCTGCCAATCCATCTTCTTCTAGACCTAGGGCTTCTGCAACCCCCAAGATCTTCTTATAAAGAAAAGGATTCAACTGAAGCTCTACGTGAACCCACCATTGATGAAATTGTTCCTCAAGAACTATTTTTTGTGACTGATAGTGAATCTATGAAGAGTCATGTTTCTTCCATGGCTGCTTCCCTTGATCATGTTGATAGTTACTCAACTCTGATTACCACTGGTCTACTCGCTCTAGTTCGAAGAGAATGTAATTGGAAACTCGACTTTCCAATTTTAGTCCCTGGTTCCAGCCAAAGAATAACTTCATACCAAACTGGCTATTCCTTCGTTTATACATACACTTTTACTAGGGTTTAAACCTCCTATTGACCCAGTAATCATTGAGTTCTGCCATTACTTCAATGTGTGTTTAGGATAGATTGGTCCTACTATTTGGAGAGCTATTGCATGCCTCCGTTATTTATCAAACTTGGCTTCTATGACTTTTACTTTTCATCAACTACACCATCTTTACTCTCCCAAATTATTTCGTGAAGGAGTTTTTTCCCTTGTGGCCAAAAGTAAGAGAGTATTAGTTAGCCCTAAGTATGATAGAGATCGAGGCTGGTATTCTCGTTTCATTGTTGCTCCCACTAGTGCTTTGGTGGATGAAGAAAACATGCATTTTTCGGGAAAGTGGAATTTTGCACGTAAGTATTTCTATTCCACCTTTTACCTTTCCTAAAATTGATTCTCATGTATTCTCACCCCTACTTGTTCAGCAACTATGGAAGTTTTTGAGGAAATCTCCAACTTTCGTGCTTGGGTAGGAAAGTTGCTATCTGTTGCCCCTATGGAGAGAAGATCTTGGAAGTATCTCTCTCAGATATTAGGGTGAAAAGTTAAAACACACGGTACTTTTTCCTGCTTAGTCTTCTTTTTTTCTTTTTTGCTAACTTAAGAGTTTCTTACCATGACTCCTTTCTTTTTTTAGGATTTCTCATTCGTGGTGTTAGTCCTGCTTCTATTTCATCTACAAGACTTACGGTAAGTTTTACTCAAGAAGGAATTCTGAGTTCCTCTTCAAAGAGGAAGGTTGATGGAGCCCATGGCTCAGAGGGTGAAGAAGAACCAGAGGAAGGTTCTCTAGTTCGTAGACCCCGAATCAGGAGACGTGTTATTTCCGATAATGAAAATACCCCTCCTTCAAGATCGATTCCTCCCAGGCCTTTAGATGAACCATAAAATGCTCCATTACTGATTTCTGATAAAGAAGTGAACGATCCCCCCTACTTCTGCTGAACAACTGTTTGTCCTTGATTTTGAAAGTGAAGATGCCTTTGAGCCTGTTTTTGAGGAGTTGCCCATTGCCTTTTTTCCACCGTCGTTTCTCGATTATCCTTAAGTCCCATTGCCTGAAGTTTCTACTGATGCTCCCTCTCCCCGCCACGACTATTTTTACTTCATCTGTTATTTTCGCTGCTACCACTTCTCACATGGAATTTGATCTTTCCAGTAGCAAGAAAGTGATAAAGAGAATTGTTGTTGAAGTTTCTCAATGTGGGAACTTATTGAATAAGTCGAGCCAAGCCGACGTGTGGTTGAAGCCTTTGTTAGGCCCCATGGAGAAGGCAAAGTTAGAGAGTCACAGTTCTTTGACTTGGATGAATGATATTGTTCATTCATCTTTGAAGGTTCGAGTTTTGACTTTACTACTTCTTTTTTCCCTTTTCATTCTACTAATAACTTCTTTTCTTCCTTTATAGATTAACTTGATAGGCACTGAACTCATGAAAAGAATTGTCCATGCTGACCAACAAATTGCTGATTACCATACCGAAGCTGACAATTGGAAAGAGCAGTTTGATGGTCTTCAACTGGAGAAGGAAGGGTTGGTAGAGGAGAAGGATGCCTTAGAGCAACAAATGCATGTGATTGTTGCTGAATTGGCAATTGAAAAATCTTCTTCAAGCCAAGTTGGTAAAGACAAGGATATCCTTGAGTCTTCTTTTGCTGAGCAACTTTCAAAGGCAACTGAGGAGATAAGGTTTGAGGGAACTTCTTAACCATAAAGAGGCTTATTCCGGAGAGTTGGTTCAAACTTTAACTCAAACTCAAGAAGACCTTCGTGCCTCTTCTGACAGGGTTAAGTTCATGGAAAGTTCCGTAACTCCTTTGAAGGCAGCTTTTGACGCTTCTAAAATGGAAAAGGAGGAGTTGATGACTGAAATCGATCAGTGGGAGAGAGATTATGAGGCTCTCAAGGATAAGATGTCACTTGAAGTGAGTAGAGCTTTTCTGAATACTCGCCTCAAGACTTTAATGGAAGCCAGTCAGGAGGGTTTTGATCTCAACGCTGAGATTGCTAAAGCTAAAGAGGCAATCAAACAAACTCAGCAAAGTCAAGACTTTCCTTTACCTGAAGATGGAATTCCCGAGGGTGATGTACTTGTTCCTGGTGAAGCTGCTATTCAAGCTTCTTCATCCCAAGCTGATCTACCTACCTCTGCCAATGATACTCCCGTTGATGATATTCCAATGGATGATGCCTCCTAGTTTTTCTTGTTTTTTGATGGTTTTGCTTAGAACTTGTTGAGAAATTTCTCTTCTTTTTTTCTTTTGGAATAGTGGTTGGTTTACCCCTGTCTTGTTTCGGGGTTTGAAGGAAAATGTTTGCCTTATGTTTGCAAAGTTTGATATATAAATTTCGGCTTTATTTTCCGCCTATTTTAATGTTTGAATTTTTGTTTCACCCTTTGTTATTTAATTTTGCATTAAAAATGCTTCAATATTTCATGATTCTGACAGACACAAAATTATAATAAAAGAGGGCCATTTTATAAATGACACTAATGAAGATGACGTCTCATCTTCATATAGGGGTAAATATATGAAAGAAGTATAAAAAAGAAATAATTTGAGGAAGTTTTATTCTTTGAACTTTCGAACTTTGTACATCATTCTTTGTTTATATAATACAACATTTACAACTCTTTCATAACTGTTCTACTTACATTAGGTTCAAATAAAAACTGGGTTTATAATCCCTTGACTAAAAACTCATTAGAATTTGGTGTACATCTTGAATCCATTTGCGTTTCTTTTCCGATTTTCTTCAAAGATTTTGGAAGGGCTTTTTGGCTCTTAGGCTGATTCAAGCTTGAATTTCGACTTTGTCTTCTTGAAGTCCTTACACTTTTTGTCTTCTTGCCTTTTGCCTCTTCATATATGTATAGTCCCCCCAGTGTTAGATCTTTGAAGTATGAAATTTCGAGCACTGTATCATTTCTTCTTTTAGTCCATTTCCTGAAAAGGAAATTACAAACGAGACTCGGAAGTATATAATTAGATGATGACTGCTTAATCCCTTTTCTCCATCAGAAGGGTTGTAACCTAGACGGGGAATAATACAGTATTTCTCGTGTCTTTTGGGTCTAATATCATCATTTGGCAAGGGTTAGCTTTTTGCCCATAATATAAAATGGTTAGTAAAATAAAAAAAGAACAAAACTAAACCATACTTGAATGATACCTGACCGGGGTTCTTCTTTTGTTTAGAAGTAATACTTCTTTAAATGAGAAACATTCCAATTTTATGGAAGTACTTTTGCCTTTCATTATTTCTAACTCATACGCACCCTTTCCAGCAATGCCTCGAATCCAGTAGGGTCCTTCCCAATTTGGACTCAACTTTCCTACATTTGGCATTTTTGTCGATTGAAAAAACTTTTTGAGGACGAAGACCCCAATCTTGAAGTATCTAAGATGAGCTTTTCGATTGTAGTATCGCTTAATAATTTGTTTATGCACTGCCATCCTTATTAGAGCTGCTTCTCTTCTTTCTTCAAGAAAATCTAGATTTATTCGCATTTCTTCCTCATTTGATTCTTCTGTTGCTTGGATATATCTTGTACTTGGTTCACCTATTTCAACTGGAATTAAGACTTTAGCACTATACACAAGTGAGAATGGAGTCTTCTCCGTACCTATTTTTGTTATCGTTCGATAAGCCCATAAGACTCATGGTAACACTTCTGGCCACTTATCTTTTGACTCCTCTAATCTTTTCTTTAGGTTGTTAATAATAACTTTATTTGCCAATTCAGCTTGTCCATTAGCCACAGAATGGTAAGGTGTTGAAGTTATCCTTTTAATCTGCCAACTCTGAAAGAATTCTATGATTTTCAAACTTATGAATTGCGGGTCATTATCACATACGATTTCTTTTGGAACTCCGAACCGGCATATGATGTTTTGCCAAATAAAGTCTCTGACTTCTTTCTCTCGCACCTGTTTGAAGGCACCTGCTTCTACCCACTTGGTAAAATAATTTGTTAACACTAATAAAAATCGTACCTTTCCTTTGGCTTGTGGTAGCGAACCCACGGTATCTATACCTTATTTCATAAAAGGCCATGGTGAAATAACCGGATGTAATAGCTCTACTGGGCAATGCATGTTGTTTCCATATCGTTGGCATTTGTCATACTTGGCCAGAAAACTTTCCGCATCTTCTTCCATTTTTGGCCAATAATATCCTGCTCTAATTAGAAGTTTTACCAAGGATCTTTCTACTGCATGATTTCCATAGTGTCCCTCATGTACATCTCTCACCATATATTCTGTTTGAGAAGGTCCGTGACATCTTTCTAAAGGACCTCCGAACATCTTTCGATACAGGTTGACAAGAATCAAACAATAATGGGCAAATTTTTGTCGAAGTGACTGAGCCTTTTTCTTATCATCAGCTAAAATCCCGTACTGCAAGAAATTAACGAACTCATTTCTCCAATCCCAAGTTAAATTATTGAAATTTACCTCATTTTTATGCTGATCGAGTGTAGAATGAAACAAATGTATTACGGTAGCATTTTCTTCATTTGTTACTTCTGCAACAGATGCGAGATTAGCCAACACGTCTGCTTCCACACTTTCCTCCTTGGTATTTGCACGATTTTCCACGATTGGAATTGTCTGTAATTCTCGTGCCTTTTCCAAATATTGCTGCATCCGCGCCTCTTTAGCTGTATAAGTCCCCTGCATTTGATTAACTACAAGTTGTGAGTCACTTTTGATTATAATCTGCTCTATTCCGAGTTCTCGTACCAATTTTAGACCTGCAATTACATCTTCATATTCTGCTCCATTATTAGTAATGGGATGGCACTTTATTGTCTGCCTTATGGTTTCTCCTGAAGATGAGATTAGAATAATGCCTAAACCCGCTCCTTTAACATTCGAAGCGCCATCAGTAAATAAGGTCCAAGTACCTGGATTAGATCTGATGAATACCTGTAGTTCCTTTTCTACTTCAAGAATTATCCCTGGGCTGAAGTCCGCCATAAAATCTGCCAAAACCTGTGATTTTATCGCAGTTCTAGGTTGGTACATGATATCATATTCGCTGAGTTCTATAGCCTATTTGGCTAACCTACCTGACAGTTCTTGCTTATGTAGTATATTATTAAGGGATAAGCGGTCACTACAGAGATGGGGTGACATTGAAAATAAGGCCTCAACTTTCTCAATGCCATATTTAATTCTAAGGAAAGTTTTTCTAAATGAGGATATCGAGTTTCAACATCCAATAAAGATTTGCTAACATAATAGATTGGAGATTGTTTACCTTTGTCTTCACGTACCAGTACTGCACTTACCGCCATTTCTGATGCGGTGAGATAGATGGGTAGCTTTTCTCCATCCTTCGGTTTAGCCACTAATGGTGGGTTTGACAAGTATGCTTTTAGATTCTTGAGTGCTTGTTGACATTCATCAATCCACTCAAATTGATTTTTCTTTTTCAACACTAAAAAGAACTTAAAACTTTTCTCCGAAGATCTAGAAATAAATCTTCCCAAAGCTGATATCCTGCCTGTCAGCCTCTGTACCTCTTTTTTGCTCGTGAGTATGTCTAGTATTTCTTCAATGGCTTTGATTTGTGCAACGTTTACTTCTATACCTCAGTTTGAAACAAGAAAACCTAAAAACTTACTTAAAGCCACACCAAAGGCACATTTTTCGGGATTTAACTTCATATTGAATTTGCGAAGAATCTCAAAAGTATCTAATAAATGTTTTATATGGTCCCACGCCTGTGCTGACTTGACTAGCATGTCATCAATGTAGACTTCCATAGTTTTTTCCAGGTGTTCTTGAATCATTTTTGTTACCAATCTTTGATACGTGGCTCCAGCATTCTTTAGTCTGAAAGGCATGACTTTATAACAGTAAGTTCCCCTGTCTGTGATAAAGGAAGTTTTTTCCTCATCTAAAGGATCAATCTTTATCTGATTATATCCTGAATAGGCATCTAAAAAACTCAACAACTCATGTCCTACAGTAGAATCAATTAGTTGATCTATATGCGGTAAACGAAATGAGTCTTTAGGACAAGCTTTATTTAAGTCAGTATAATCTACACAAGCTCGCCATTTCCAATTATTTTTTGGTACTACTACAATATTAGATAGCCAATTAGGATATTTTACCTCTCCTATGGACCCAATTTTTAAAAGTTTTTGTACCTCATCCTGAATCACCTGATTTTTGAAGGATCCTTGCTTCCTTTTCTTCTGTTTGACATGTGGATATGATGGATCTTCATTTAGCTTGTGAGTCATCACCTCCGGTGGTATACCTGTCATATCTAAATGGGACCAAGAAAAGCAATCTGTGTTAGCTTGTTAAACTTGACAAGTTTACCTTTCATTTCTGGGCTTAACTTCATTCCAATATAAACTTTTCTATCTGGCCACTGCTCAGAAAGTGTGATAGCCTCGGGTTCTTCTATTGTTGTTTTTATATTTTCATTCTCTTTTGGCTCTTGAATGACTTCAGTCCTTGAATCTACGTCTATTTGTCCACCTTCAGTTGAGGTTTATGTTGCTTTGTCCTCAACTGAATTCAGTAATTGCTATTTTTCATATGCACCATCGTTCGCTATGCTCGAATCCTCCACTGAATTGATACTTCTATAAGCCTACTGATCTCCACAAATTTGTCTAATCCCCATTATGAAGGGAATTTAATAACTTGATGCAAAGTAGACAGATCATCATCCATATCATGAATCCAAGGCCTACCCAGAATCATATTATATGCCATGTCCGTATCTATCACTTGGAATTTAGTATCTTTGACAACTCGTTCTACAAATGTGGTAAGCACTATTTCCCTTTTTGTAATGCTTGAATTGTCGAATTCAGATAAGGTACGTGCTTTGGGCACCATTTTGTCATTAGCTTGCATCTTGTTTACCACTCTCAAAAGAATGATATTTACGGAGCTACCTAGATCAATCAAAACTCGTTTCATATTAGTATCATGTACAAGTAAAGATATTACATGTGCATCATTGTGGGGGATCATCATGCCATCTGCATCATCAAACATATACTGTCTTCTTCCAAAACTTGGCGAACTCACTTTCCGTGGGTAACATTGACTTTTGATGTCTTTTTTACAACCGTATATGTCACACCGTTGACCTACTCACCTCCGCTTATCACATTAACCATATTTTCTGGTGATGGAGGTTTTGGAGGCTCTTATCTATTCTTCATATACATTTGCTTACCCTTCTCACTAACAAATTATTTAAATAACTGTGTTTTAACAAATGCTATATTTCACCTTGTAGCAATTTGTAATCAGTTGTTTATGACCGTGGTCATTATGAAATTCGCACCAAAAATCTGGATATCTCCTGCTAGGGTTCGATCTCATTTCGTTTGGCCACCGCACCTTATCTCCCATACTTTTTAAAATAGCTACCAACTCAGAAGTGCTAATATAGAAGCTATAATCACCAATCTTTGATTTTATATTAACATTGTTGTCCCGCTCATCACGCTCTTTCCTGAACTTGGATGATGAACCCGCGTCTCTATCTCTTGATCTAGAACCATACCTTGGATTTTCTTGTTTAGAGCGTGAATCCCGTCCTGCTGGTCCCATGTAATATTTGTACCTTACCGGACCTTTTTTTGGTTTCTGGTCGCCTCGAACTTGTTCTTTCATCACCCCGTGACCGAGTGATAGTGTCTTCCTCTATCCGCATATTTATACTATATTTGTTTTAAACATCATTCCAAGTTGTAGAAGGGAATTCTTGTAAGCTTTCCCTAAGTTTCCTCTTAGCTTCTGAGCCTTTTTCATTTAAGTTACTTGGAAACGCCATGGCCGCCCAATTTAGGTACCGGTGGTAACATCATTCTTTCACGCTAAAATCTATCCACAAATTCCCTGAGTAGCTTCATATCTCCTTGTTTTATTTTGAAGATGTCTTCCATCCCGTTCTTAACTTTTTGAGCTCCCAAATGTGCTTTTATAAATGAATCTGCAAGCTCAGCAAAAGAATCAATAGAATTTTCTAGTAAAATAGAATACCATATTAGTGGTCCTTTCGTGAGTGTTTCGCCAAAATTTTTGACCAGCACCGGCTCAATTTCTTGCTTAGTTAAATCATTTCCTTTCATGCTAGTTGTAAATGCAGTTACATGATCTCATGGATCGGTTGTTCTATCATGCTTCGGAATATCGGGCATTTTAAACTTCTTTGGAATCAGTAAGGTAGCTGCACTTGGCTTTCAAGGCTATTGTGAATATTTGTCAATATCCACTCCTTTAATCACGGGTCACACCAGGTATTTGTTCTATGCAATCGTTCTGATCCTTGAGCTGCTTCTGCAAAGTTAGTACTAAACTTTGTAAATTAGAATTATTTGGTGTACCTAACCTTCCATTGCGAGATTCGCTGGGAGCTCCTCCACTTCCCGAATTAGAAAGTCCCGAGAGTGGATTTTCTATGGTTGCAGTGTTGGTTGGAGGTGGAGTTGTAGTTGGCAATCCACTGACAAAAGCTTGAAGAGCATTGTTAACGTGTTCCGCAATTAGTTGTTTTAATGCGTCCTCGGCAGTTTACTCGTCCCCTTGTTTATCATTCGTGTGTGATGTTGATCTTTGAGGTGCCCCTTCCCGGGATGTCGAGGAAACTTTTGAGGTGAAGGTGTAATGACCCGACCGGTCGTTTTGAGCTTTTGCACTTTGATCGCCAGTTCTCGGGCATGACTTGCCCCGCTTGATATATTATGACTGATGTAAATCATTGGTTTTGGTTTTCACAGAAATCGGAATGAAATTGAAAAAACTGTTCTCAGCTATAACTTAAAATTTTGAAAGGTTTGACCAAGATTTGACTTGTTTGTATATGATCTCAGATCGGGATTTTTATGAATTGGTTAGCTCCGTTAGGTGATTTATGACTTAGGAGAGTGATCGAAATACATTTTTGGAAGTCCGTGGAAGGTTTAGGCTTGAGTTGTCAAAAATTGATATTTTGGCGATTTCCGGTTGATAAACTAGATTTTGATATAAGGGTCAGAATGGAATTCCGAGAGTTGCAGTAGCTTTGTTGTGTCATTTGGGATGTGTGTGCGAAATTTCAGGTCATTTGGACGTGGTTTGGTTGGGTTTTTGCTCAAAAGCGTATTTCGGAAGATTTTTTTAGAAACTTAGGCTTGAATTCGATGTGATTTGGTAGATTTGATGTTGTTTGAGGTATTTGATGATTAGAACAAGTTTGAATAAGGTATTGGGTTATGTTCTTACTTTTGGTTGAGGTCCCGGGGGCCTCGGGATGATCTCGGATGGTTATTGGAGAAGTTAGATGTTGGTTGCAGCTTTAGATTTGCTGCTTCTGGTATTTTCGCATCTGCGGTTTGGGGACCGCAGATGCGGGTGATTCATCGCAGAAGCAAAAAGGGTCAGATGGGCTAATACTGCAAAAGTAGCTATGTGGACCGCATCTGCGAAGCCGCAGATGCGGGGAAAGGATCGCAGATGCGAGATTTGGCCGACAAGTGATTTCCGCAGAAGCGGAGGAAGAACCGCATATGCGGTACCGCAGGTGCGTGTTTGGACCGCAGATGCGGGTCCTGGGTCATAAATGAAATCCATAGAAGAAGATGTTTTTCCGTGGAAGCGCAGATGCTCTTACTGGATCGCAGGTGCGAAAGAGCTGGGCAGAAGGTATAAAAATGCCCTTTCGCGATTTTCAGTCATTTGCTCATCGTTTTTGTGCGATTTTGGAGCTCCAATCTGTGATTTCAAGAGGGGATCAAGTGTATCCATAGAGGTAAGCTACTTGGGCTTTATACCTTATGCTTATGGTGATTATATCATTGTTTGATCATGAAAATTTGTGGAAATTAGAGGAAAAGTTGGGAAATTAGGGCATGAAATTGGAGAGTGAAATTTTAGAATTTGAGTGACCATATGAGGTCGGATTTTGGTAAATTTGATATGTATGAACTCGTGAGGAGATAAGGAATCTAATGATGCAAAAATTTCTGAGTTTCGAGAAGTGGTCTCAGGGCTTAGGTTTTGCTAATTTCGGGATTTTTGATGTTTTTCGATAGTTTTCGCTTGGGCTTTGTTCCCTTAGCATATTGTGACGTATTCGTTCTAGTTTTGGATAGATTCAACGCGCGTGGAGGCCGATTCGAGGGGCAAAGGCGTAGCGAGCTAGAGTTGTAGCCGACTCGAGGTGAGTAATGATTGTAAATGATGTCCTGAGGGTTTGAAATCCCGGATTTGCACATCGTAGTGCTATATTGAGGCAAGACACGCGCTGGATGATGAGCGTGGGGTCTTTTACTACTGGGTATTGTGACTCGGCCCATCCCGATTGATGATTTTACCGCGTATTTGATTGAAATTTATTTGTTATCATCATGATTTGCGTTGATTGCCATATTTGGGCTTTGTGCCAACTATTTGAACCCTTCGAGGATTTTTATCACTATTTCCTCACTGCTTTGACTTATTATTTGAACTAAGTCCTGTTGATATCTACTGCTTTACCAACTCAGCCATTTTTACTCAAATTTGAAACTTATGTGATATTTCTAAATGATGTTTTGGGCTGAGAACTACTGTTTTACTAATGCCTGAGGGGCTTGTGATGATTTTCGGACTGAGTGAGGTCGAGGGCCATATGTGAGGATATGTTGAGTGATATGAGGCCGAGGTCCTGAGATACTTTATATGCCACGAGGTGGCTTGAGTGATGTGAGGCCGAGTGCCGGGTGATGTGAGGTAGAGTGCCGAGTGATGTGAGGCCAAGTGTCGAGAGATGATGCCACAAGGTGGCTTGATATAGCGCTTGGTCTGTAAGGGTCCCCTCCGGAGTCTGCACACCCACAGTGAGCACGGGTACCCATTACGATCTAAGAGTGAGTCCGAGGGGCTGATACTGTACTGAGAGTGAGCCCGAGGGGCTGATACTGTTCTGAGTGATTGATACTGTGCCCGAGGGGCGGATTTCTAATTGTTATTTACCTGTTGAATTACCTGTTTTACTTGTTTTAAAAGGGATTTCATTTGATTTGTTCACTGATTTACTACCTTAAGTGATTTTACTGCTTGATATGGAATTGCTTTGTGCCCTTATGTGTTTTCATACTTTCAGTCATTATTTATAATTATTACTCACTAGTTCGGAGTACTCATATTACTCTCTGCACCATGTGTGCATATTCAGGCATCGCAGAGTCCGCTCCTGAGTGTTGATCCTCCTAGTCTAGGCAGTGATTGGGAGACTACGAGGTAGTTGTTGGCGTCTGCAGCCCCGTACCTCCCTTATCTTATCATTTTCGTGTTCTTAGAACTATTGTATCGGATTTAGTGTTCAGTAGACTTGTATCCGGATTTCTTAGTTTCTCATGACTTGTGACACCCAGATTTGGATTGTGTCGGGATAGTTCTTACTGATGTTATTGTTAATTCCGCAAATCATGGATATTATATCATGCTTTAGAACTATTTATGATGTTTAATTGTTTAAAAGAGGTGTTCGGTTTGGTCTGGCTAGCCTTTTCTTCATGAGATGTGTCATCATGTCCGTGTTCGGGAATTGGGTCGTGACAAGTTGGTATCAGAGCCTAGGTTACATAGGTCTCATGAGTCATGAGCAGGTTTAGTAGAGTCCCGCGGATTAGTATGGAGACGTCTATATTTATCCTCGAGAGGCTGCAGAACCTTTAGGAAAACTTCACATTCTTGAATTCTTATTGTGCGTCCTTGATTCAACTTGAATAGTAACTCTTGAAATTCCTTCCACGCATTCGCATGGGCGCATGAGCGCTCAGTATCAGATGTGCCTTGATGGCTTGTGATTCCCCGATCGAGGGGCAAGATGTGATCTCTGTGAGTTGATATTAGGCCAGTCTGGAGGACTTGAGGCTGGATCTTTTCCTATGGCTTGAGCACCGAGGTGCTAATTGTGTGAGAAAGTGTTTTTGAACTTATATGTTCGGTAGTGTCCCTATTAGTGGGAGTGACGGTTGGATAACTATGTGATGAGTATGTTAGTACTGCGAGATGTATCTATATGACTTGGATGTGACAAAGAAGGTCTGCTGGAGGATAGAAGAACTATTAGGTGCTGGAATTCCACCTTGATTCAAGGTATAGCCCCGAGTTATGGGCGTGTGAAAGATCTTTTCATGTTTCCAGTTGAGAGTGTAGTAAATTTCATGTTGCGGTAGGAGTTCAAAATCAGGAGGACTAAGTGACTGCGTACAATTTATGACGGTGGAAGGTATTCAGAAATGTTAATTGAAGACAAAGTAGGTGGGTTATCTCTTGCGAAGAGTTCTGGGGTGGTGTGACCTTTATGTGATTGTTAGAAGGTCTCGGGTACAAGTGAAATGTAAGTGCTGAAATTTGAATTTTGGGTCGCTTAAGAGAGTGGGCTTAACTATTGCGAGAATGAGCGCGAGATTGGCCGAAGGTTTAGAGTACTAGCTGATTTGTGTATTCACAAGCTTACAAAGGATTTGAGTTTTATCTCACTATGGTATTGTGGCATCAATAAAGTATAAGTGTTATGAGTTATTGAGTGTATTTTGATCTACGGCTTCGAGCCAAGTGGGTGAGTTTGTTGTGAGTAGTTG